TTCTCATGCCAGTTACACAGCAATTGCACAAAAACAGCGAAGGGAGGAACGAAACGGCGAAAGGAGAAAGGAAAAGGAAAGAAGCATCCCAAAAAGAGAAGTAAAGGAGAAGGAAGGAAGGGAGGGAGGGCTAAGGGGAAGCTCGTCAGCCACTTGACTGGCAAAAACGGATGCGGATATGTACGCCAAATTGAAGCAATTACCGGACTCCGGACTACCCTACCCCAAAAATCCACTCAAACTTTGCTCTACATATATGCGATACATATATACATAAGCCTCTTGGCTCCACCCACCAGAGCTTCGCTCTCTCTCTCTCTCCCTCTCTCTCTCTCTGGCTTTCCCTTGTTCTCTCTTTCTCCTGCGCCGACGCTGTGGAGATGAAGAAAGAGAGAGCGAGAGAGAGAGAGAGCATAATGGCGTCTGCCTACCCCACAAAATAAAAAGATGAAAGATGATGCTGCCCCGCGATGCGATGCTTCTTGCGCTGATGATGATAATGATGATGATGATGATGATGTCGTTTGATGGCCAAAAGAACTTCTTGAGGGGGAGGAAACAATTTTTGAAAATTATTCTCGCACCCAATGAAAGTCGAGTGAAAGCGAAAACCATATATATACGCTTATCCACAAATATCCGAAGGCCTCACGTCAAGTATCATTCGGGCAGCAACAACATTAATTGATTGTACATCGTGGATAATTGTTGCTGCCAAAGTGCGGGATCCGGAAAAATTGATTACAAAATGTTTTTGCAGCTGTTATTATTAAATTAATTTGTCATCAAACAAAAGTCCCCTCCCCACACGAAATCAGCATAAAAGCTCCTCACACAAGCCCGCTCCCTGCCCCGGCCTGTCCACGGCTCTGTGTGGCTTACAAAAACATGACATGAAAATAATCACAAATGTTGTTGATAAAATCCCCAGACAGGAGCCGGAATTTGTTTGGCTAATGCCGTGGGGGAGCCGAGGGGCTCCGAAAGATTAGAAGTGCCTGCGTTCGTCATGTAAATGAGTCTTATCGCCCCCGAATCGAACTAATTGAACAAATGCCAAATGGGGGACAAGGAATGGGTTCGGCCGGAGGAATGGTTTAATCGAATGATATTGAAAGAGTAGCTATTTGTATTTTTTGGGGCGTGGGGTTCCACCTCAATTGGAACCTAATAGCCCCCTCTTCATCCACAATCCTTGGAGTCATTGGAGCATTAAGTGTGAAAGTTTCGCCCCATGACATGAGGCTGGAATGCAGACAGCTGGCCCACTTACCTGACCAACCCCTCAGCCTACCCTACCCCTTACCCCGTATAAGTAAATAAATTCCATTCCCGTAGATTGTGTGGATGTGTGGGGATCATCAAAAAGTACAAAGTACAGTTAAGCAATAATCAATTGCTAAGCAATTCTTGTGTATTGTCGAGCTTGTCATTGATTTGCTGTTCTGTTCTATTCTGTTCTGTTTTGTTCCTATTGCTGTACGCGTACGAGTGTAGTCATTGGTTTTTCAACAGAAGTCGTTTGGTGTTTGGCTGCATGTCATGTCATGCCCGAAGATAAAAGACATCACCAACAGCAGCAGCAGCGACAACAACTACAACAACAACAAGTACATATGAGGTATCGCAATGTGTAATTATCGTTGTCACTAATTAAAGTTGGATGACTAAAAAAGAAGAGCAAAAGCAACAGCAACAGCTCGAGCTCTGGGCTGAGCTTCTTATCAGCCTGTAAAGGGGGATTTTCAAGACCATGAAATAGAGAACAGAGCAGACTAGCTGGCGAAGTATTTCATAAATCCGGAGCGTGTTCGTGCAATCAGTTGAAAAAATGTTGGGGTTTATCAACGAATCGAGATATTTCATCGATAAACTTGATGAATCGGTTTTTATTTGGCAGCATTCAATGCAGCATACAATTGTCTTGATTTGTTTCAATTTGAAATTTCAGATTACTGCCGCCCTATGTATCGAGAGCGATAGCAGTAGTGCTCCATAATCGCTGAGGGTATTTTAGTGTTGGACAGTGCCATCAAAATCTCAATTTTTTTTAAATGTATATGTAGCATGTAGTTACCATGTAAAAACTAATTTTTTATTGACCCATTTTGTTTAAACCTACTTATATAAACAAACCAGTGAAATGGGGTCGTTAAAATTAGCCCATCTTGTAGGGAAATTGAGTCATCAATCTTATAAAACTATGTGGGCATGGCTAAATGTTCCATATAGATAGTATTATTCAACGGAACAAAGAATTGGTCGTTTTTTGAATTGAATTTGATTTCGCCGCAGTTCGCCGCAGTTCGCCCCAGTTCGCTTTAGCAACAATGAGTCTCATTCCATACACAAAAGTTGCAGCAACATTTACTTGAAAACCGTTTTTTGGTCAAAATAAAATACATAAAGGTAATTAAAAGAAGCAATCTTGTAGAAAATACATTTATCTATGGGATAAAGCTAAGTGTGCAAATCTATATAGCTTGAAATATAGGCAATACCCGATTCGCCGCAGTTTCGATATTGCAACAATGAGTCCCATTCCATGCACAAACATGTTGCTAATTCCATGCACACATACCCTGGGGGAAATGGATGTTATAGAATTGTGAATACGTTTGTCTTCCAAGGCTCAGTAGGTATCAGGATCGACATAAATATATACAAGATACTAATTATGTACTTGAATATGTCTAAAGAATATCAATTTGAGAAAAGGTCTTAATAAATTACGTCTGATCTTCATATAAAATTAACGAAATAGGGTGTACAAAGGCCTATACGCGCATCATGTCTTCAAATACCAGCAACATTGCGACTGTTTTTTTTGTTGAACTATTTTGTTTAAACCTTGTTTTAGTCAAAATACAACAAAAGCAAGGACTAAAAACTAACCAATCAAGTAGAAAATTGATTCATTAATCGGATAAAATTATGTGGGCATGGCTAAATGTTCTATATAGCTAGTAATATTCGTCGGAATATCAAAAACGAGGAATATGTAACATAGAACTTGACTTCGTCAGTATATTTACGGTATATTTTTCAAATGAGACGGTATGTTTCGGTATATTTCTGAGGGTCGGACGGTATAATGGCTGCGTAGTTTATTTATTATTTACAAAAAAACTGCATTAAAAAAAAAATGCAGAGCCAGCAAATTGCACTAGTGATAGTTTTTCTCGGCTGCCTTCTCGTGGCACCACTGAGGTGAGTCCTGTGCCCTAAGGAGAAAGTGGAAGAAACTTCGAGTTTGTTTTTGGTTGCGTGGGGCTGAAGAGGGAGACCTGGAATCGCACGTCCCTCTTGGACTCCAACACCCCCACCTCATCAAGGACAAGCACTCAATGTCAATGGTGAACCAGTTTCGATGGAGTCACAATCCTTTGTCGCACACCTGCACACACTGTAGGACCGTGGGGGGAGGGGCGGGCGTCAAGTTCAAGGTTGACCCAGTAACCCCCTTCGCCCAGCCGACAGCAACGCGACAAAGAAAAGCAAACAAAATCTATAGAATTACTCATTTGGGTATCAATTACAGTGCCCACGACGACATATCGAATTCCGATGAATCAACCTCCGGTTTTGTGGAAAGGCAGCCACAAAGGAAAACGCTGCCCGACAATGGCAGTGACAGTGACGATGGCGATGGCGATGACGATGACGACTCCTTGTATCCCTTCGATGACTCCGGACTGTTAGACGATCCAACGCGGGCGATGGAGAGGCATCAGCGCGTCCACGACCACAACTGGGATGTGCTGATCTTCACCCAGCAATGGCCGGTGACCACCTGCTATCACTGGCGCGAGGACAACCCCTCGCAGGAGTGCTCGCTGCCGCAGAAGAAGGAGTTCTGGACCATACACGGCATCTGGCCCACCAAGCTGGGCTCCCTGGGGCCCTCGTTCTGCAACAAGTCGGCGGAGTTCGATGTGGACAAGCTGGATGGGATATCGAATCGGCTGGAGACCTTCTGGCCGGACCTGAAGGGGGCCACGTCGCAGGAGTGGCTGTGGAAGCACGAGTGGCAAAAGCACGGCACCTGCGCCATGCTCATCGAGGAGCTGGACGACGAGCTCAAGTACTTTGCGCAGGGCCTCAGCTGGCGGGAGCAGTATATCATGTCGCGCATCCTGGACGCCTCGGACATCCACCCCGACTCGAACAACACGGTCACGGCCATCAACAATGCCATCGTGAAGGCGCTCGGCAAGAATCCCTCCATCCACTGCCTCTTCGATACGAAGCACGAGATTAGCTATCTCTCGGAGATCCGCATCTGCTTCAACAAGTCCCTCGAGCTGATCGACTGTGACGGGGTCAAGCTGGGCGATGCCGTCTCCATCAAGTATCCGGGTGGCAATGTGACCACCAATTGCCACATCAGCAGCCTGGTCCACTACCCCAGTCTGGTGCCGCCGCTCCAGCGCAAGCGGGAATGGAAGTTCCCGCTGGTGAACGTATACAAGCTGCTCCAGTTTCTTATGTGGTTCACCCTGTAATGAACCGTGGATTGAAAGTTGAAAGAAATGATCTTATATTTTGTATAGACTTAGTTTTTGGGATTGCACTCCCTTTGGGAAGACGAAGAGGCGCGCCTTAGGAGGACTGGTTGACTCCTATTAGTTTTTTCACCACACTCCTACACCCTTACACCCTCTCCTGACACTACTCTCCTACCGGTGGAGGAGTCTGCACTGCGTCGAGGCGTAACCCGAAATCCAAGTGGTATTTATTGTGTATAGAAGGAAATACATATGTAGCAAATCATCAAATTAAGGGACTTTTTCCTTTTGTGAGCCCATAAAAAAGACAAGACCTCAAGACAAGGACTATTTGTTCATCATCCTCATAGTTTGTTTCACACCTCCCCAGAAGCCCATCCCCCACATCCAGATCTCTGCAGGATCAGTGGCGTGGCCCCCTTTCCCCTTACACCCCTAACTCTTAAGGATAACCATAGCCCTACGACATTTGTTCAATTAAACACGACTTAATATTTGGAATATTGTCTGATTGATTTTCAGTTAAATATTTATATTAATTTTGTTGTAACAGGTTATGCAGTAGGCTGATGTCTATCGAGTCCTTCGTTGTTCCTTCCTTCTTTCTTATTTTATTGCTGCTGCGTGGAGTTGCCGTTGTAGGTGGCCTTGTTGTCCTTGTCGTCCTTTGCGTCGTGCAGCCGTCGTATGTTGGCATTCCCATAGCGCGGTGCCTGGTATCCCCCCGGTCGTGCCTGGAACTGTTGTTCCTGAGCCTGTGCCTGGGTCGTGGCATGCGCCAGCACTGTGGGCGGCGTCTGAGCAGGTTGCTGTCCAGCAGCATCGTTTCCTGTTCCCGGCGAGGCTGGCGCTGGCGGTGTGGTTGATTCTGTCTCGGGTGCCTCTGGCGCCGGCTGCGGGTTGAGGCCTGGCGCCGGCATGGGGCGCATCGAGAACATATCCATGTTTCGGCGAGCGGCACTGCGAGAACAACAGGTTACGAAATGCCAAATCAATCCTTCAATCACATTATTGAGTACTCACGCATCGCCCTGGACCAGGACCACATTGGCACCGCCGTCACGACCTGGCCAGCGAACGTTGGCCAGCATCACGGTGACCTGCTGCGAAATCGGACGCCATCCATTCTTGCGGATGTAATCGAAAGCCTTGGCTGCCGGCGTAATCATCGCCCACATCACAGTGGTCAGCATGGACATCAACGAGCCCCCGGTGCGCACCACGCGGTTGACCTGCTCCTTGGTCAGGACCAGCACCACGGCATTGGGCACCAGATTCAGCTCTAGCAAGGTCTTGACCTCATCCTCTGTGCGGAACTCCCGCCGGGGGTAGCTTGTGGCCAGAGTGAAGTCGCGCCTATCGGTGCCCGACAGCAGCTCATTCCGCACGTAGATGCGAACGGTGCCGAGCAGAGCGCCGATCGGGAAGGACTTGGTGCGCTGCACGCCATCGGGCAGACGGATCTGCAGACGCGTCTGATCCGCGAAGCTAAACGAGTCGGACATGACGGTCGCTGCGCTCGTGTTCGCTGCGATGTGGACGTCGTCATCTGGGATCACGCGATGCACCTGCTCCGCCCGATCGGCTGCGATTTGGGCGCGAATGCGGTCGCGAGTCTCCTGCTCCTCCTGCCGATTGCGACGAATGCGTTCCTTCGAAATGACAGGAGTGTGAATTTACAGATTTACAGAATTTTTGCTCTCTTCTGCCGTTACCTGCATATTTTTAAGCTCCTGCTCCTTGGTGAGCGCCTCCTGGGTCTGGGCCTCCTTTCCCTCTCGACGACGCCTTAGCGTGTTCTCCCTCTCCCTCTTCTGTCGTTGCTCCTGCTCCTGTTCCTGCTCGCGGCGCTTCTCTTCCTGCCTGTTCTGTATCTCAGCCATCCGCACGGCAGAGTCGGTTGGCTGTTGCTGTGTCGGTGTCGGTATCGGCTCGGCCGGTGCCGATACTGCTGCCGAGGCAGCTGTGGCAGGCTGAGAGGAACTTGAACCGGAGCCCACTAAAGTCAGCAACTCTGCAGAAGCCGATGTCTGAACGGGCAATGGGGGCGACGGCCGAACCCCCGCCGAAGTCGTCGAGGGGTTCTTATTGTCTCCTGCGGCGATTGTGGATCCGATTACTGGTGTATCTGGAGGCTCAGCCCCAGTCTTAGACGAAACGCTGGGCTTCTCGGGGGCTGCTGTCGAACTGCTGTCTAGCGCCGGTGTCGAAGTAGTTGATTTGCTGGCGAGACTGGTTGCTTGCGGCACTTCATCTGTTTTGGGTTGCTGTGCCTTTTCACTTGCCGTGTCATCGGCTCCGGCCATTTTTCGCGACTTTGTCTCTCGACTGGGTGAGGGGCGACTGCTGTTGCTAGTGGCGGCCTGCTGGTTCTCCTCCCGTTTACCTGACAGGACAAGGACTTTGTCGATTTTGGCGACCAGGTCTTCGGCACTGCCAATGATGCCAGTGGCCACATCCAGGGGTGTGCCCGATTTGCCAATAAAGAAGATTGAAGGAATGGGTACGACTTTGTCTAAAGGATTGCGAGGACAATGATATCGAATGAGTTCCGTGGAGCATTGACTGCAAGGGCTGTACTTACAGAGGGACATGAACTGGCCATAGGCTGTGCTGTTGCCTTGGACTTTGATGGCCACAAAGTCCGAGGTCTCTAGACGGGAGCGCACTTGCTGATCGTCCACGAATCGCTCCAGCTTGCTGGACAGCTCGTTCTCACCTAGGGGGGGGGAGTGAATGGAGTAAACGAATTGATTATTGACGATGACGTGGTGCGTGAATGAATGTTTGCTGTGCTGTGCTGGAGGATTTCCTCCCAAGTGCCCTACCTTGTATAAACACGACAAAGATGGCATTTTTGGATTTGGATTCCGCCACGGCTTCCGCTATGTTGCCCGAATGCCAGTTCATGTTTCTGCTTCTTTTCGATTATGGTTATGTGTGTACCACTGCTTTTTGGTCGGAAGGGAAGGTTACGGAAAATTTAGCCTGAGGTTTGTTTTTCCAGAAAAAAATAGTTTCGACAGCTGACGATGACTGTGTGTTATCGGGGGACGCTCGGTGTTGCCAACTCGGTTCACACTCCGGTATATCGGATATATCAATTTTATAACCACCACTAGCGATCAGCTGTCGCGATTTATCGAAGCACTGCCATCTCAATTGTGGGGGTTACTCCCAATTCTCCGCCCAGCCTCAGCCACCAGAAAAACAATTGATAAAGGAAGAAGAATAACAGACTCAGCTGTTCGTCTGAAAACGGCATCTGGACAGCGTCTTCAGGATTCTGGTGTCTGGTGCGATGGAAAGACCGACAAGACAAAATCGCGTGTGCCGTGAGGAATGGGCCTGCCTGTATCGGCCCCGCGAGCCCACTGCGTGGTGCCTGCCACCTTCCTGCTGTTCTCGCGCCAGGAGCAAATTGGGCCGCATCTCGACCGAGTGCAGCGAGAGGAACGGAACCAAGACGACGAGCTGATACCCTTCAAGGATGTGGGCGATGCGCACGCCCTAAACGTGTGGCGGAGCGGTGCATCTACTGGACTGACCAGCAACATCTACTGGTCCGATACGGAGGCTCGTCTCATCGAGGTCGCCCGCCTGGATGGCACCAGTCGGCGGAGCGACTGGAGCACCGGGGACATTGATCAATACGGGCCAGAGCCGCAGCCTCGCCAAGGACGTGCCCTGCATCCCGCCAGCGACTGCCCGAATTTACCCCTGCCGGTGTCCAGCAAGAATATCCGAGCCCAGGTGAAGCTCTCTCTCCTATTCAGATGTCTCTTCTCGACAGATGTCGGCAGCCATCGGGCTATTATTCGGGCCTGAGTCGATGGAACAACATTGCCGCCTAGGGGGATTTGTGTACTGGCTGGACGACAAGACCGGACTGGAGAGGATCACTGTCAACGGAGAGCGTCGTTCCGTAGAGCTGCAGCGACTGTCGCAGTTCACCGGCATCCGGGCCGTGTGGACACCGGATGCGAAAGTGCTGCGCGGTCGCCCAAATTGTTTCCACATCTGCCTAGCCAGCGGGGTGTGACACGCAGTAATCACGACGTCTGCTCGTGCCCCAAACAAAGAATCGAGCACTAATGGCTCCATCGAATAAATTAAATAAGGCAGTAAGCATAGCCAAAAATAATTGAAAATCACTGCATACTGATATTCTCCACGCAGGGAAGCACGCCGTCAAGCACTCCCTTTTAAAAATGCAATAGAGAACCTACTGGATATTGCATTTGAGGTGCAATGCGACCGAGCTGCGGATGAAGATGGCGCGAAAAGACTCTGGAAGAGTGGGCCAGGTTACCACTACCACAATTCCTTCTACAAGGACCACAGCGTCCCCAACGAATGAAGGACAAGTAGCTCAGTATGCCGAAAGCGGAAGGGGATGATTCGCCCGATGAGTTTCAGCATGAATAGTATAAGTACCACCAAATGTATGCCACAATTTTGGCTAATTCTCGACCCATTGATCAAACAGCAGTCAAGTTTTTAGCGGAGTATAGTCCGGTCAAACAGATGCTCGAGAGGCATCGGGATCCGTGTACCCATACCCAGCCGCGATGAAACTGAGGAGCTGAGTTAAAAGTTGAGCTGGCCAACGCTGGAGTGCGTGCGGGCGTTGGGCGCTGCGTCGCCACTGCAAATTGATTTGTTCCTTTTGTTTATAATAATGATCCGATCTGATCCAGATTCGGCAATCTGGTAGATATCGTCATTCTCTATGATTAAGCGTTTTTATTAGTTTTCTCGAATGTGCAATATTGTGGATGCAACAGATTTTCGTCCTTTGTGTGGGCGGAAGGGGGTGGGGCGAAATACACTTGTAACAGTGACATATCACAGAAGTCTGGATACAAAATGACGCTGCTCTAGCTCTTATAGTCTCTGAGCACTAGGCGCTCATAGGGACGGACAGAGAGAGATGGCTCAATCGACTCGGCTATTGATGCTGATCAAGAATATATGTATATACTTTATGGTGTTGCGTCCCCACCTAAGCTTGAGATTCCTGCCGTTGCAGCTCCCATCTTAGCCCCTGCTGACCAGCCAAGGGAAGCTGCTGCCAATAGGACACAACCAAGTCCAATTATAAGCAGTAAACCTAGGTGTACAGATACCAGTTAATGTATTTGGGTTGTCGAGTTTTTTACAAAAATGCATTCCTTAGGCGTATGTATATATATACTTATAACCATATAAGCATATAAGATGTGTTTGCTCCTCTTTGGGGGCTTGTCTAGTCCTCTCCTTATTCCTATCCTATTCGTTGGCTGCGTCTGAAAACGTAACAAATATTGGAATTTCAATCGCGTCGCATTGCGATGGCTTGTGCCCATGGAAGCATACTCTCACCTTCCTCGACATCGCTACGAGCCACATCTGGCAGACGAGCCACACGAACAATGCAGCGCTTGGGCTTGGGCTTCAGCTGCAGGACAAACGGCCCTGTGGTGGTTGGCGGTTTCAGACGCTCCAGATTGACGCGACACTTGCGGAGCTGGTACTCCACCATGTTCCCCTGGTCCACCTGCACGGCGAAGTACGGATGACGCGGTATCTTAATCACGACCTTCTTTATTTTTGGAGGCGTCATTTTTCAACAGCAAACGAAAGTGATCCAAAACAGTAGACGAGAAGAAAAAAATGCAGCTGCTAACGCCACAGTCGGGTGTATATCGAACTATCGAACTATGTGCGGCACTATTCAACACTAGCCACAAGCTGCTTGGTTTTGTTTTTGTGTGTCATTGTCTAAAAATTTCATACAATTTCAAAACGCTTCCACAAATCATCCACCCTTGATTTTTACGCATAAAAATCCGACCGCTATGAGTGACGTCCAGACCTTGGTGGATATGGGGTTTCCCCGGGAGCGAGTGTGAGTGCCTGTTCCATCTGTGGTGCAGTTTTTGCTCTCTTGCCGGCAACCTGCAGCTTTTTTTTTTTGTACTTTCTGGTTTTTTCTTCAGGGAATACGCTCTGCAGGTGACCGGCAGCAAGGGCGTGGAACCGGCCATGGAGTGGCTGCTGGCCCATATTGACGAGGAGATTCCATCCGCAGGATTGCGTGAAGCTGCAGGGGCCGAAGCAGCAGCAGCACCCTCAGCCAGCGGCGACGAGTCGGCCCCGGCACCTAGCAGCAGCAGCGGAGGAGGCGGGGCCGAAGGCGGCACTGGGGAAAAGTCTGGCGAGTCGACGGTGGCCAAGTCGTTGAAGTGCGACGACTGCGGCAAAGTGCTCAAAGATCATTCGGAAGTCGAGTACCATGCTGCCAAGACCGGGCACAGCAACTTCTCCGAGTCCACGGAGGAGAAAAAGCCCCTCACCGAGGAAGAGAAGAGGCTCCAGCTGGCTGTGATCGAGGAAAAGCTCAAGCAGAAGCGCATAGAGCGCGAGGAGCGCGAGAAGGTGGACGCCCTGGAGCGCGAGCGGAATCGCATTCGTTCGGGCAAGGACATGACCGAGGCCAAGCGTCGCATGGAAGAGATCGAGATGAAGAAGATCGTGGATCAGCGCAAGCGCGAAAAGGAGGAAGAGAAGGTGGCCCGCGATCGGGTTCGTGCTCAAATCGAGGCAGACAAGGCCGCCCGCAAGGCCAGGTAGGGCACTCGTAGATGCTTTCCTGGGGAGATAACAGTCTAATTCCCACATTTTGTATCTATCCCAAAAGAGAAAATAAGGAAACACCCAACAAGGAGCCTGCTCCATCCGTGAGCTCCACCACGGTCAGCTCTCCCACCGGCGTAAAGTCGCCGCCACGTGACTACACTGAGACCCGCATCCAAGTGCGCCTACAAGATGGCTCTACCCTCACCGAGACCTTCAACGTGAAGGAGCAGCTGTCGGCCGTGCGCGTGTTCATCCAAGTGAAGACCGGCATCGAGACGCCCTTCTCCTTGATGACCACATTTCCGCGAAAGCTCTATGCCGAGGAGGACTACGAGAAGCCGCTGGAGGTGCTCGGCCTTGTCCCCTCCGCCGTCATCACCATGACCAAGACGGCTGCGTAAGGACCGCACCGTCAGCGACAGCGACCGCAACTACTAGAATATCTAAATCTATCAAGGCGCGCGATAATCTCCCCTCCCCCCAAAAAACAACACTTTAAATGTACGATTTTATATTATATTACAACTAAAAAAGGAAACGAAAACGAAACCAATCGGTGCGGATTCGGATTTCTTGAGGCCCTACATGAAGGGCTGCACATAGGTCTTGATCTTCTTCACGCTTCGCTCCGCCGGACGGATGGTCAGGTGCTGGCCAAAGATGGTGAACTGCATGTTGCCCAGCGTCAGCCCAAAGACGCACTCGCTCTTGGGCACGCTCCTCAGGCGATCGTCCTCGCCCAGCAGCTTTAGCACATTTTTCGTGTCCATCACGCATATGCCCGCGAGACCCTCCAGAGTCTTGCACTTGGACTGGATCACCTGCAGCCTGGCGCCGTGCAGGTCCAGCTTGATCAGCTGCTTGCTGAACTCCTCGTACCGCGGCTCGTGGACTTCGGGCACCTGGTCGCCCTCCCGCAGGCCCAGGTGCTCGCGCACATAGCCCCGCCAGAGCTGGTGCAGGGGCAGGGCCTGCTCGTAGCGCATCTGGCGGGTGGGCAGCGTGTTGAGGCCCAGGCGGGCGTACTCGCGGCGGGACAGTGTGCTGGACTTGTGGGAGCGTCGCTTTCGCGAGTGCTGCTTCCGGCTCTTGGCCCCCTCCAGCATGGTGATGTGTTCCGGGATGATGTTCACGTTGCAGCGATGGTGGGGCACCACCAAGTCAGTGATAAATTCCTGCAGAGGCTCCATTTCATCGAATCAACAAAATGTAAACACAAAAAAGAAGAGGTCAACGTTATTTGAGCTGGATCCATAAACGGAACTGCAACTGGAACTGGTCAAAGTTCACTGAAACGAAAATATTAATTTTGCGTTAAACGTAAAATGTAAAATATTCAAACAATTCTCCAGGTGCTGTACCTTTACGAAAATTTTAAAACTTTTGCGCTACTTTTCGAAAATTTATCAAGTGTTGCGAATCGACGATTAACCCATTGACGACCAGTGGGTAGAATTTTAGCGCAATTCAGGTGAGAGATATCGGTTTTGTTTCTTGTGAGTAAGGAGGAAAAAACAAATGGATAACAACACAATATTCTATAAATTGCATAAATCATAAACTCACATAGACATACCTATGTACTGACTGAGTACTTCTATAAGTACAGCAGCAACAACATTGAACAAATTTGTAATTTTATGTTGGTAATATTTTGGATGGAGGTAGGAGATTGGAGATTCTTAGGTGGGATTTTGTGACGGATATGGAAAATAACTCCAGTTTAATCAAGTTTTAAAATATGTTTTCGAATGGGGGCTCAAGTGGGCTAAGTGAACTAGGTCGTGGGGGTGGACAAAAACACAAAAATGAGTCAAGAAATGGGCATACTGTAGCCAGAAAATGGTCACACAAAATTTATCTGGTTCGAGCATTCGGTTCGAACGTCGTCGTCTCTCTCTCTCCCTCTCTCTCTCACAACCATTCCGTTTGGCTGCCATTCATTCGCTCTCTCGCTCTTTTTGTTGCGAGCGTTGGTTTGACGCTGAATTTGAGTTCGCCGCAGTTCGCTTTGGCAACAATGAGTCCCATTCCATACACTAACATGTTGCTAGTTCCATGCACACATACCCTGGGGGAAATGGATGTTATAGAATTGTGAATACGTTTGTCTTCCAAGGCTCAGTAGGTATCAGATCGACATAAATATATACAAGATACTAATAATGTACTTGAATATGTCTAAAGAATATCAATTTGAGAAAAGGTCTTAATAAATTACGTCTGATCTTCATATAAAATTAACGAAATAGGGTGTACAAAGGCCTATACGCGCATCATGTCTTCAAATACCAGCAACAATGCGACTGTTTTTTTTGTTGAACTTTTTCGTTTGAACCTTGTTTTAGTCAAATTACAATAAAAGCAAGGACTAAAAATTAGTCAATCAAGTAGAAAATTGATTCATTAATCGGATAAAATTATGTGGGCATGGCTAAATGTGCTACATAGCTAGAAATATTCGACGGAATATCAAAATTTACGAATATGTACAATAGAACTTGAGCTCGTCAGTATATTCACGGTATATTTTGAAAATGAGGCGGTATGTTTCGGTATATTTCAGAGGGTCGGGCGGCATATTTTATCGATAAGTCCGCGGTCACACTGCTCGCAAATCACAAAAACAATTTTTTTTTGAGCTGCGCGGTTGGGTCGCTGCTGCTGCGCGCGTCGTCGAATAAACAAATTGAAAGCTAAATTTTTTGCTAGTGTACAATAAAAGTGTACAATACTCAGTCTCATATCGATATCACATCGCTTAAACGAGGAACAGAAAACAGAAACAAAAGGAAAGAAAAAAAAAGAGAAGAAAATGTGCGGCGTTTGAAGAGGCCAAAGCAGATGTTGAAAACTGTGTAAACTTGTGCAAAGAGAGAGCAAGAGAGACACCCGGACGGACAGTGAAAGATAGTTTAATTCGGATTGGAAACTACCGCGCGGTCCAAAAAGCAGAATTACGGTTAGAAGACGCCCGCCCGCGTGTGATCGAAAAAGTTGGAGGCGCCGCTGCACTGATAATGCAATATTAAAAGAGCCAGAGAAACGTGACCCAGGCAATTGTTTGTTTGCTACATATATACGAGTATATATGTATGTGCCAATGTGTGTGAGTGTGAGAGCCCAGCAGCAATCGTAGTAAATAGTATTCGGCCCGTCGCGTTTTTTTTTTGTGTGTTCGCCTGCTGCAACAATAATTACAATAAAAAGTTCCAATTTACGGTTGGGCCTCTCTTCTATCGCCTTGTTATCGCCAAATCTCTCTCACACACACAGCGTGCTTTCGATATTTGAAATCCCCACCCGCGCCCCTTCCCCAACATCCAACATACAAAAACGCACACACGGAAGAGTCGCCTCAGTCGGCATCAACAAAAAACCGCTGTCGACGTCGCTGTCGCCGTCACCGTCGCCGTGCAGTAAACGTGCATATTTTAAGGTAATTCAAAAAGAAAAGCTATCCCAAACAATGTTTAATTAGCCAGAAAAACTATTTCCTTAGGCCTGGGAATTTCGCTTGAGCTTTTTCTTTTGTTTCATTGCTTTAATTGAGTGTTTTTTTTTTTTGCTGCGTCTGTTCCTGTGCCTGTGTCTGTGTCTCTGTCTCTGTCTCTGTCTCTGCTGGCGTCGGCAGCACATAACTGTCAAGTGCGGGAGATGAGCGGGAGCGACGAGTCTCAATTAATGTTTGCCTAAAAATTTAAAGGAAAATGTTTAACTTATTGTGGCTGTGAGGAGGGATTACTGAGCGCGTTTTTGCAGCCAGCCACGCGCAGGGCAGAGCAAGCCCAGGCACACACAAAAATCTCACTCACGCGCACACACACACACTCGCAAGCTTACAATGTAATACACGGACGCGCCCCGGCAGTCAGGCAGTCAGCCAGCCAGCCAGCCAGCAGCCAGCAGCTAACGGCACTTTTTCGCTCTCTCCCGCTCTCTCCCGATTTTGCCACCAAAAATGAAATCCCAAACAAAAGAAATGCCAATTAAAGGAATCTCAAATTTCCTCCTCAAAGAGGGAAATTTCTGTAAGCTTCGGATCCCGAAGTTGTAGCCATTCTTCTTCCCTTCTTGCTTATCAATTCCCTAAGTCTCTTCTCTCTTTATCTCTCTGCCCGTTTTACAGTTGCCAAAATGTCCTCAACTCTCGTTTAAATAATCTATAAAGAAAAAGTGTGAAAAAGAAAAGAACGCCAACAACGGTGGAACGAAGGAAAGCACAGCGCGGAAAGAAAGGAAAACAACAAATGGCTCACAATTGAAAGGCGGCCATCGTGGCCCCCAGCGGCATCCATTGAGCAATCAACACCATTTCTCCCACATCAAATCATCAGGCACCACCACCATTACCACGGACACCACCTCAGACACCGCCAACGCCAACGCCACTGCCACCAGCAACCAGCAAACAGCTAAACCAGCAGCCAGCAGCCAGCAACCAGCAGCCAGCAACCAGCAACCAGCATCTCCTCCACCAGCACGCACCACTCCACCACCACAGTCCACTGAGCTCCATCTGCCTCCAGCGACGGCAAGCAGCAACCAGCAACCAGAACCAGAATCGAAAGCGGAATCGGACTCTGAATCTGAATCAGAATCAGCGACACTGCGAGTGCAGCTGCTCAAATTATTTAAACCACTCGCCGCCGTAGTCCATCAATGAGCGTTTCGATGTCACTGGTACAGGGTGGTGCTGCCGGTGGTGCGCCTCAGGGCGCCAGCGCAATATTGGCCGCAGCGGCCCCGTACTACCAGCCGCCAGCGGTGCCGCAGGATGTCCAGCCGGATCGTCCCATCGGCTATGGTGCATTCGGAGTAGTATGGTAAGTGAAATCCAAAGTTCCAATCTATTACATTTGTTCGTGCGATCTATCGGCAGACCCTTTCATTCTCAGGGCTCTCTCTACGGGCTCTCGCCGGACTCTCTCCGGGGGTTCAGCAACCTTCTCCACGAGTGCCTGCCTAGGCCTGCCTTTGATTTTGTAACCCTTTTGATTTCTTTTCCCCTTGCTGATGTTTTGTGCAGGGGTAATGTCAACATCAACAGAGCAACATCCTCATCCCGTCCTGCCGTCCTGCCGTCCTGCCATCCCATCGTCCTTCTCCATATCCCGTCATGTGGCACTGCTCCTGTGTGTCCTTCGTCATTTTGTGCCTTTTGTGCAGTTTTTCTCGGCCCCGAGGGTGGATTTTTCTATAATATTTCTTACCCTCTCAGACTCTATTTCACGTTCTCCCTTTAGCCGTTTGCCACTCTTTGGTGTGCTCTCCTCTCTCCTCTCTGCTCTCCTCTCTGCTCGCTGCTCTCCTCTTGTTTTGATTTGCATTTTTGTGCAGAGATTAAGTGAATTTGTACATTAATTGTTGCTTAAATTGAGGTTACATGTAACGGTTACGGTTCGCTCGGCTATGAGTGAAAACTGGCAACGCCGCTTGCCGCTTGCTGCTTGCCGCGGCACAGCACAGCACACAATTTCATTCACGTGTAAAACGGCATTTCCGGCAATATAATCAAAACGAACGCAAAGTGGAGGAGGCCTAACAGGAGGAGGAAGTCTACGAGGCTGGGCGGTGGTGCCGGGAAGCCAGTGAAAAACTAGCACACCTTGAGTGCAGAGGTTGCGGGGGGCGACTGGCGGCTGGGGGGGTGGGCACAAAGACGAGCCACAAGTGGAGGAGCGAGCCCTCGAAAGAGGCAAAAACAAAAACAAGTCGCAAGAAAAGGCAAACTATGAAGAGAAAAGAAGCCACCCTCCCCCCCTACCTTCCTTACCCTTTACCCGTCCTGTTGCCGGGTGGCTGCTGCCTGCTGCCCGGTGCCTGCTGCCTGCTGCCTTGTTCCCTGATCCGAAAGTCCGGAGGAACCCGCAGAATAAAGTCGTTGACGTTGGATTGGCTTTTGAGAAGCAATCATCAGCGAACCGAACGAACGGCAGAAAAATATTAAAACACCAAAGAGAGAGACGCTGTCATAGAAAAGGTTGCAGAGGGCAGGGGGGGAACGTTGGAACGGTGGAACGGTGGAATAGGAGTAGCATGTATCACCTGGCCGTTCTGGGTCTGGCACAGTGGAATGCAATCAAGCGTTAAATTTAAGTGCCAAAAGTCGAAATGTCGAAAAGTCGAAAAGTCGAAACTTGTTCCACAGATGAAATGCAATGCAGTCCACGAGGTTTCGGTTTGGGTTTCGGTTTGGGTTTGGGTTTAGGCCTAGGCCTAGGGCTTGGCCTTTTTGTGTTTCTATTTCTGTTTATGGCTCCTTTTTTGGGGAGTGCACCGAGAAGCAGGTGAAGCGTGGTCCGCAGATGCGGCAGGAAGGAAGGAAGGAAGGAACTACCGGGAATCGTGAGCACTTTTAAGTAGTTCTCTTGTTTTTGTTTTCGACTGAAGTTTGGCAACGCCTGGAACCGGGCCAAAGTAAAATGGAAAACTTTCGGGTGCTGGAAAAAGCGGCTTATCAAAGTTTGAGCCGACTCTCTCTCGTGTTGACAACTAAGGAAGATACTTTTTGGGGGGCACAAGGCTTACCTTTGGCCTGCCGGGGGCCTGCCGGGGGCCTGCCGGGGGCCTGCCGGGGGCCTGCCGGGGACCTCCACTGGGAAGAAGTGCTCGTAAAACCCACCGGGGAAATCGATGCCTAATGCTAGATTGCTCAATTTATAATTTGATTCCCAGAAATGGCACTCGAGCAACAAACATTTAACCAATTAATCGTAGACGCAAAGTTCTACGAATTTCATTTCTCCCAAATGCACTGCAGCACACCGCAGATACAAAGATACAAAGATACGGATACCCAAAGAGTCAAGTAACGAAAAAGAATTATAGATATACATACAAACACATGTGTGTGTGTGTGTGTGTGTGTGTGTGTGTGTGTGTGTGTGTGTGTGTGGACATGGTCTCTGGCCGAAGAGCCAGAAGAAATATGTGCTATAAGGTATCCCAAAAGACGAGCAAAGATCTCGTTGGAGTTTACTTTAAACTACCTGCAACTGGTTTTTGGAAGAAGCGGCACAAGCAGAGAGAGAGAGGGAGAGCGAGAGGGACGACGGGACGAGCGGACACACCAGACACCCGACGGACCAGCGACCAGCGACCGGCAATGGAAAAAACGACAGTGTAAACCTTTTGGATGCATTCAAACTTGCTTCCTGCACGACTTGTGGCCTAAACCTGCGGACCTGCGGACCTGCAGACCTGCGGACCTGCGGACCCGAACCTGGCCTCCGCAACTGCGTCTGGAGTTTGGGTCTGGCTATCGGGTCTGGGGTCTGGGGGTCTCTGGTCACTGAGCCGCACAGCCTCTTGGGCAAGGTGTCGCAGTCTCGAAAGAAGTCTTTGGTCTAGGCGCTCATTCACTCCCTCACTCACTCACTCCCCCACTCACTCACTCACTCCCCCACTCAGTCACCTCTTAGCCAAAGTCTCGACTGTTGTTATTTTTCAGGCTCTGGGCTTCTCATTCTGTTCTCAAATGTCCCCTAAGGAAAAACAAGAGCGGGTCCAAAGGGCATTTCCTGCACTGAAAATAGTTCAAATCTGTGCTACTTCATAACTGTGCTAATTCGAATCTGTGCTACAGTTTTTTCTAAGGGTATTTCATGCGCCGACTTTCGTCCGTCTGTCGGTCTGCCTTCGGCCTCTGTTCTTTTTTTTTTTTTGCTGTTGATCGGGGCGCAAATCGTTTGCTAATCTCAAACGCAGCGGCAGAAGCAGAAGCAGAGACAAACGCAGCGGCAGAAGCAGAAGCAGCGACAAACGCAGCGGCAGAAGCAGAAGCAAAAGCAGCGACAAAAGCAAAAGCAGCAGCGTCGGCAGAATCGTCGTCAGAAGCAGCGACAGCGCCAGCAGCCGAGTCCCGCATAAAATACTTTTGCCAACCACCGAAAAATATATGATTTTTTGTTGTTGTTTTTGGAAGCGAAAGCAGTGCAGGAGGAGGATAGTTCTTTATATTCCCATTCCCATTCCCATTCCATCCTTCCATCCATCCATCCATCCACTATTTCGAAGGAACAGCTGCTGCTGCTGCTCCGTCGGGGCGCTGCTCTGCCTTGCTCTTCTCTGCCTCTCGCTGCCTCTCTCTTGTTTCCGCTGCGATTTCTGATGACGCTGTTGATGGTTTTTGGTGGTTGAACAACCTTCGCTCTGTTTTTAGAGTATTTTCTGTCTGGCACTAACACACACACACACACGCATGGACACACAGACACACAGACACTGGGCCGCTTGCAGGATATATCCCGCATATGTTTTTCTCGCCGTTTCGCTTCCCTGGGACCCGGGGACTGCATCATCATCCCGAAAACCGACCACCGAACCCCGAACCCCGCACCCCGCACCCCGAATCCCGAACCTGATCTCCATCCCTCTCCATATTTTCGCCTCTCTCGCAGTTGCAGCAAAGGGACAAAGTTTTTCCAAAACATTTTCAATTTTCAACGTTTTTCTACGGCGGCAGAGGGAGAGGGGTGGGGGTTGAGCGGCGTGCGTTTGACTTTGAAAGTGTTTGAATAATTATCCTGATCCTGTTTTTCCTGCGACTCGCACTCGCTCTTTCGATGCGATGGGATTTCCTTTGAATTTCCCATTTCCCATTTTTCCCATTGGGAGGCGGAGGGCCAGGCAATTGCTTTATGAGTTTTTCATCAAGTTTTTCCTTGAGTTTCCACACGTCGTTTTCGGGGGGGATGGGGTGGGGAGGGGAGGGGAGGAGGGAGGGTTTGTTTTTTGAAACCAGTTTTTCGGTTTGTTTTTTGGTTTCTGAAATTTGTGAATGATTCAAGTTTTTGGCTAATAAATGATTGAACTTTGACTCCAACAAAGATGTGTGTGTGTGTGTTTCGGGGGTGTGTGTGTGTGTGTGTGTGGATCAATCTTTCGCGGATGTATCTACAGTCCTGCCTCATTTGATGTCCTTTTCCGAGGCATTCTTTGCAGCTTCTAATTGCCTTTGTTGCACGGTGAAATGTGGCAACGTTGCTTGGCTCTCCCTCTCTCTCGCTCTCCCTGTGCGCCCTGCGTCTCCTGTATCCTTCAGGTAGTCTTCTATTTGCCTCCTTTTTCTTTTTGTTGTTGTTGTTGCAAGAAGACTTATCCCTAGATTTCGGTGCGGGCGAGGGCGAGGGCCGGCGACAAAGGAAGAGAATTACGCACGCAATTTTGTCTACAGCTTCATTGCGTCCTCCGACAGATACGAAAGATACAGCAGCCACGGATACAATCTGCCATCTGTGTGTGTGTGTGTGTGTGTGTGGCAGTGGCGGTGGTGTGGCATGTGTGGCATGGCCAGCAGCTTAGTTCACTTGAATTGCTGCCACTGCCACTGCCACTGCCACTGCCGGCACTGCTGCTGCTTTCTACTACGCTTCGGTTCAAGCTGTGGAGCGCAAATGTATCTTTGAAGTTTATTTTGTGTGTGGCACACCTCCCCCCGGCCCCTGTCCCTGCCCCAGCCCCTGCCCCTGCCCCTCCCTCTATAGGGCTTTCATGGTATCATGTAACAAAGTGTGGCAGTGGCAAACACAGCGGAGGGCACCTCCTGCCGCCCCCCTCCCCCTCCCCCTCCCCCCCCTTCTCCACATGTGCGTCTGTGTGTGAGTCTTGGAATAATTTTCACTTGTCCAGAGTGGAGCTCTGGACTCTCCCCCCCTCCCCCCCCGCACTGCGTGCTGGTCTCCAAATGAAAAATAATAGTCAACAAAAGTGCCACCAAAACGTAAAAAAATAGAAGCTTCCATTTGGGTTTCGAGTCTGAGGTTGGGGACGCACAGGGGATGCGCACTGGGGCCAGGGGAACGGGATAGACAGAAGGATGGAT